GCTGCTGCTGTTGCTGCTGCTGCTGCTGCTGCTGCTGCTGCTGCTGCTGCTGCTGTCGTGGTGGCACATCATTTGATTTTCGACAAGTTGTTGAGGCTATTTGCTGATTTGGCTGCCGCTGTGGCTGTGGCTGTTGCTGCTGCTGTTGTTGCTGCTGCAAACAAATTGATTGGCTGGCTGAGTGATCGCGCTGCCAAGATCCGACACAGGCGCTCGTTCCATTGAGCATGTCCGCCCGCCGGGGCAGACCTGGATGTTGTTGTTGCTGTTGTGTTTGCCTGACAATGTTTTGGCAGCACGTTCATGTCCATGTTGCGTCCAATAAATGCGCAACGATTTATCCATCCATCGAGCAGCTGTCGATGCAGGAGACGAGAGGAGAGGCAACTCAGCGAGGCAGCCAGGCAGGCAGGCAGCGAGGCAGGCATTGTTGTCAGTGCTTGCTGGCGGCGTGAGGAAATGTTTGGCTTTGGCTTTTCATTAGTTTTCCGATATTTTTGCCTTGGCCTGGCCTGCTCTGGCTGACTCCTCAATCCTTGTTGCATGTTGCTGTTGCTGCATGTTGCTGTCGTCGCATGTTGCTGGCAGTCACACTTGCAATTACCATTGGCAATTGGCGATTGTTGTAATTGCTGTTGGCACAGCTGGCGCCACCGGGCAGCACACACAGCAAGCGCAGCCAAATGGAAACGATACGAAACGGAACGGGATGGAACGGGGCGGCAATGAAACGCCTCGAACATCTTGTCAAATTAATTAACAATATGTTGAGCTGCCGTGACATAAGCGTTGCCAATCGCGTCGCACCAATCGATGCATTGATATGCTTTGAATATTTTGCCAGCGATAAACGATAAATCAATCAGTGCGGAAATATCGATAAGTGGACCACATTGAGAGAGGGTGAGTGGTAGAGTGTAGATAGGGAAATATAAATCCAATTATATTTAAATATTCGACTATATATCTATATTGTTCTAGTAGACGAGATAATCGATAAATTTATCGCTTTTTAGTTGTAAACTTATTAGTTGAATTTGTGAATAGAAATGGTATGCAGACTTGACTGGGCATGAGGGTAATACATATAAACTGAATTTCCTATTGATAAGAGCAGCTTTCAACAATCGATAAATATCGATTAATTATATATAGCTATCAATTAATATTTCTTTGCTCAAGTCTGATCCAGCATTTCATACTGGTGCTATTAGATCTCCCCTAACTATAAGACTTGGCATATAGTAATCGATAAATTTCGATTGCATAGTAATACAAATAGTTTTAACAAAATATTGTTGGCCTGTCTATATTCATACCTAGAACAGATATTTCGACTTATTAAATATGGTCTTTGAGACCATCTGGCATGTTTCTATCAATCGATAAATATCGATTGGCTTCTTGTGAACAACTTTCCATTGATATTTTGCAACTCCAAGCCTCAGCGAACATATGCTATTTGGAGAATTTCGCCGCAGTATTATGTGGAGCTGGTGGAGCTCAAGCTTGGAGCTCTGGGGAGAAGCAGAGATCACGACTTGCCTGGGCAAGTACTAGATTATGTATTTCTTTTTGGATAGCTGGCTAGGCAACGTACATATACGTTTTTCGGCAAAATCGTCGAAAGCAATTATCCATTGCATTTGTTTCGACAACTCGCATAGTTTTTCTTTGTTGTTGCTGTTGTTGTTGTTGTTGTTGTTGTTGGTGCTGCTGTTGGCTGCTTTTGATTTGTTTTGCCCAAGTTTGAAACTGGAAACTTAGCCGTGGCTAAAAATGGACATGAGAAGAGTAGCTATGAAAACACAACAATAACAAAAAGTCGTGAGGTCCGCGGCGACTAAAAAAAAAAAATAAATAAATAAAAGAGAAAACATAGACCCACTGAACCCCCACACACACACACACTTATGGCTAGAGGAGTTTTTGAGGAGAAATGTGTGGAAAAGCCAGTTGGTGGCTGACTGCAAACAGTAGCCCCAATTAGGGCTAGCGGATTTGGATCTGCACTTACCATCTCATCGAGGCTCTTCAGATCGTTGGTTATGATCTGTGGCTGGGGTCCGTACATCAGCATCGGATCCTTGTCGTTCTCATCCTCGTTCTCTGTATCGCTGTCGTACAGATCCGTCTCGTTGGCCGCACACTCATCGCCAATAGGTGGCGCCTCCGTTTGAGTGCCGCTCTCCGAGCAGCCGTTGTTTGTCTGTGTGCCACAGCCGACGCCGTTGGCTTTGTTATCGGCCGCGATTTCGCGATCGATTTGTCGCTCCATTTGTACCAGCATCGGCGCTAGCATGCCTATCGATTGACATAAACACCCATATAGTATATATATCTAGCGATCAGCATTGATCGTGTTTCTTCAGAGACTTACCAAACTTGGCGCCACGTCTGGCCACCTCCAGCAGGCAGAGTATCACATGCTTCTCGTTCTTGCGCATGATCAGATCGTCCGTTTCGAACAATAGGCACTCGATGATCTTCAGGCTCTTTCTGCAAAATGACAAACGACGTTTGAGCAGTGCGCTTCACTGGCCATTGACTCGACGGTCAATCGGCTGTGATCAGTTGTGATCAGTTGAGCAGTGATCACTGATCACGGAGAAGTTGATCAAGTAGCAGTGATCACTCGAAAGGGCAGTGATCAGCGATAAATGATCAGCGATCGGTGATCAGTTAACAGTTGACAGTTAGCAGTGATTTACAGTAGCGAATGCTATGTTAACTGTGATCAGTGTTGGATGAGCAATGTTGGATGATTAGCTACGAGTGATCAGTGATCACGAAGAGGTTGATCAAGTAGCAGTGATTATTCAGGAGTAGGCAGTAATCAGTGATCACTCGGAAGGGCAGTGATCAGCGATCGGTGATCAGTTAACAGTTGATATTCAACAGTGATTTATAGTAGCAGATGCTATGTTAACTGTGATCAGTGTTGGATGATCAATGTTGCATGATTAGCTACGAGTGATCAGAGATATCGGAGAAGTTGTCTATAATCAGTGGCATATTGCTCAATTAACAGTGATTATTCAGTGATCAGTCAGCATTGGGAAGTGATCAGAGATCAGTGATCAGCATATTTAGCAGTGATTTCAAGTAGCAAATCAATGATATGTTAACTGTGACCAGGTTTGGATAATTACCTACGAATGATCAGTGATCATGGATCAGTAGCTGTTGGAAGTGATCTGTGATCAATTAGAAGTGATTAGTTAGGCGTGAGATACCAGTTGGCTGCAGTTGCCAGTGATCCGTGATCATGTAACAGTGATCAATCGGTGAACATCAAAGGGCGATCAATAGATATAAATAGGCAATAATCAGTGATCAATGAACAGCGTCAAGTGAGATTTGGTAACGGTGATTAGTGCACAGCTAACAATAATAAACGATCCCTGATCAAGGAGCAGTTAAGCGATCGTTCTCTTGGCTCCCTAAAGATCAGCAACTGGTGATAATGATTGATAAAACTAGAAACATCCGAAAACTGAGCATTCTGAATGATCAATTGATTTGAAATATGAAATATATGCTCATGAAGGATCACTGATTGAACGCTGACCCACAATATTCTGCATAGAGACTGATGTATTTATTTTTATATATATATATATATTTTTTTTTACTTAGAGCTACAATGCATCTGAACTATTTTAGATGGACTCACCTGCACCAGGTTATGAAATTGGAGACATTGTCGCGCGCGAAGAATGTGCCGCTCTTGGCTGCGGGCAGATAGTAGACGTTGCCCAGGGCGAGGATCGGCCCGGCCAAGCCGGAAGTCATGGAGCGTGTCATTGATTTGTTGCGCGCCTGTCGGCGGGCCAAATAGTCCTCGGCTGCTTGTCGCACGTAATTTGCGTGCTGAAAACAAATTAAAGAGCGCAACAACAATAAATTAGACAACAACAACAACAACAACAACAACAATGGGATAACCAAGTGAAAGTCGACTACGCTATTTATTTTTTCTGGCTTTTTAAAGCGCGACAAAAATCTAGCAAAAAGTTTATTTTTAAGCGTCTCAAGAATTTAGCGCAGAATTCGCGAATTTTTTTTTTTGGTTTCTGTTCTTTTTTTTCAGATCGCACAGCTAGCCAACGGGGCCAGCCGACTACACCCCATGCCGCGCCCCTGCGCCAAGTACAGGGTATACGCGCGACATCCATACCTCCACAGGAGAGGCGCTGCATCATTCGAATTGATGGCGCCGCAATCTTATGCATAATTAATTAGAAAAGCAAATGAAAATGAAAATAAAAATGAAAATGAAAATGAAATATTTGCTGCGGCGAGGCAAACTAATTCCAATTGCAAACACTCGTCACTCATCAGTCATTTGGGCAGACACACAGAGAAAGAGAGGGAGAGAGGGGGAGGGAGAGTTGTGTAAACAGAGACAGAGAGAGAGAGACTGCACTGAATTTGTGAATGGGCCTAGATGCTTTTGGGCCACTAATTAGTCTAGCTGCGTTGCGTATAGAACCTAGACAGATAGCATGACGAGTCGGAACTAGCGGAGCTGGAATATTGTAGAATTCCTTGCAAGACTGGGAAATATGGGGGAAATATCGGTAATATCTCTAGAAATAAAGGCTAAATATAATGATTATAGCCGAATATGGTCAAATATTATAGGGATAGAGTTATATGGATATAGACAAAATGATAAACCTAGTTATATGAAGCCTGCCACGCCTACTTCTGTTCATTACATGCCGTAAATTACGGCATCCAATCTCTCAAAGATCTCAAGCCGTATTGAAAACAGATTCTTGGATTTAAGCACTATACAACTCAGGGACCCAATAAGAATAATGCCATATAAAAGCAGTTGGGGAGTATAATAATATCATAGTGGAATGTAGGTCACATGAGCAAGATTACATTATATATCAACTATATTATATATACAGTAGAATCTGATTAGAGCTATGCTCAAGGGACCGTTGTTATACTCGGAAGACGCTATAACCGTACGGACGCTATAAGCGGAGTCGTTACAAACGGATTCCATATTATATTATATATTATTATTAATATATAAGGATTGCCTATGCTCTCTGAGCTCTCTGCCACGCCTCCTTCAGCCTGTCGCTTGCCATATCATATTCATATCCTGAACCCAATCCATATTCATTGAGTTGAGTCTTAGAGCTGATGTCACAGCGTCGCCTCCAAATAAAATGATATAATGCAATCTGATTGGCTGCGATCGTTGGGATGCAATTTGAAGGCGCTGCTGCAGCACGAGGAAAGGCGGCAAATGGAAACGACGTGTCATGCATTTCCATTTCCATTTCCATTCCCATTCCCATTATCATTATCGTTTCCCATTCCTATTCAGTTTCCCATTCCATTTCCATTTACATACATCATTCCATATTCATTTATGCACATCTTTGTAATAATTTAATATTTTAACCATTTCTATATTTCCATCTCTCTTTCTCGCTTATTATTTATTTATTATTATCTTTTTTTTTTTTTTTTGCTTTTCTTAAATCTTTATTTTTTTTTTTTTTTATTTATGGCTATCGCCGCAAACTGCATTCAAAGTGCTTTATTTGGTGTTTATTGTTTCACCGTTTCATTATTTATATATATGCATAAATGTGAATATATTTATAGAGACAGAGAGAGGGAGAGAGAGATAATACCCTAAGTCCATTTAAGGCCAACAACGACAGCTGCTGACGTCTGCCGATAGCTGTGGGCGTGGTCAGACAGTCAAACAATTTGAATGCAATTGCGATGAGCAATTCTATATATCTAGTATATAGTATATAGTATATAGTATATAGTATATAGTATATAGTATATAGTAT